AGTCAATCAGAGAAGACAATTATCATATGATCTCACTGATAGGAGGAATTTGAGAAACAAGACAGAGGATCATAGGGGAAGGGAGGGAAAAATGAAACAAGATGAAACCAGAGAAGGAGACAAACCATAAGAGACTCTTAATCTCAGGAAACAAACTGAGGGTTGCTGGAGCAGAGACGGGTGGGAGGGATGGGGTGGCTGGGTGATGGACACTGGGGAGGGTATGTGCTATGGTGAGTGCTATGAATTGTGTAAGACTGATGAATCACAGACTTGTACCCCTGAAACAAATAATACATTATGTTAATAAAAAAAGGGAAAAAAATAAAAAAAATAAAATTGCCTAATGTGTGTACTGTTAAACTATAAACTTTTGGTAGACTACCATAACTTTAATTTCACTCTTGACTATTGGTGATGTAATTTGCATTGCCCAAAAGCCGTCTTGTTACAGTTTGGTGGAGGATCAAAAAAGATGATTCAGGATCTTTAAGAGTCTCTGCTACGCACTGAGCCCAGTGACTTTAATTTGGGTGTGGTGAGCTGACCTCAGAGTCTATTGTGTGGGCCCCGTTTGTTTTTAGTTTATTTTACTTTTCTGGCCTCCCCAGCTTCATTTGGTAGTGCAATCTGAGGAAGATATATTTGTTTTGCCAGTACACTCTGATTGGCTCAGATTTTAAAATGACATATGTAGGGTAACACCCTCCCTATAATAGCATCTTAAAGGTCTGTCAGTATTTCCATTAAAAATTCAAACTTTCCAGGATTTATTACATAGCCATAACAAATGGCTCCAGGCAGAAACTTGGCAAATCCTTCTTTAACGTAGGAGGAAATCTTTTTAAAACAATTTTTAAAAGGGAAAAAATAAACAAGTGTTTACCACTTCAATTTACTCATGTGATTCTTTTGATAGGAAAGGCATTCAGAGAAAAGGCACGGCATATCTTTACATTTTGTTTGTTTTACAAACTTGAAATATTAGTATTAGCTTGTAAGTCAAATTTTGCCAGAGAGTTCTACCATTGCCCTCCTACCTGCCAAATTTTCAAGGACTCTAGTTTTGGATTCTCATGTTCCTATGTCTGATGAGTATACTGAATTGGGGAGGTGCCGGATCAGTTGACTATGAGTCTTTACGTTTCATCATGGTAAACATGGACAGTTTCAAAAGACACGATTTGTTTTGGTGGGAATTCCTTGCAGAGATTTCTTACTCATTTATATTTTCAGGGCCTAGTGCTGGCAAATGAATGATAAATACATAAAAAGCAGCTTGGGAATTAAGACATAGTCTCTGTTCCTAAGTCTCTTATTTAAATATTCACTTTTTAAATATTCACTATGTAGTAACTTGGGAAAATCTTTGAAACGGTAAACAACATGCTGCTGGATCTTTAACATCTATGCTTTCCCTTATTTGTGAACACCTCAGTGGATTATTATAGCAATTAAATGACAATGCTATGAACGCACAAGCTGGTTTCAAAACTTCTTTGAGGCTTGGCTCTCTAATGTCTTATCCACCTCTTGGGAGTGTTTTTTTTTTTTTTTTTTCTTTTTTTCCTCTTGGGAGTGTTTAAGAGGCTATAGGGAAGGCTCTGAAAAGTGTGAAATGCTATATAGATCTAACTGAAACGTAAATGCTCACCACTGCAAATGTTAAAGATAACCCCCTTCAGTTACTGGGAAAGTAAAACATGGTGAGAAGTGCACATTCTTTCACCAACATATTTGACTCCAAATCAAACTGATTTATCTGATGTAGTGTTGGGTTGACTGACCCCAATGTTTTTAAGATAAGCAGGAGCTACTCTTAGAGTGATCTAATGCCGTATTGCATTATTTTTCCCCCCAGTTTTACTGAGAAGTAATTGGCATACATCACTGTGTAAGTTTAAGGCATACAGCATGATGGTATGACTTGGATCTATCGTGAAATGGTTCTGTTTTATTTTCCACTGGAGGAAAAACTAAGGGGTCTTTTCCGAGTATGACTTTTGAAGCCCACTTTAAAAAAATGAAGTCTAGAACTCTAAATAAGTATATCTATATTCTACTTAACTTCCAATCCGTTCAATTTAGTTGTTATAACCTGCTAAGCTGTTTGCATTTGCTTGTCTTTGTTTTGTTTTGAACTATGTAAGAAAGAGGCGACTTCCAGTAAAAACATAGACTACAATTTAAAATCCCTGATGATTTGGAGGGCTTGTATGCTTGTTTTATTAAGTACTCTTGTGCTCCCTCTGCTGCCGTCAAGAAAACTTTCACATTCAAGACCCCAGGACATTCCTCAGAGTGTCCACTTGGCATCGGTGATGCAGATTTGCGCATGAAATCAGGGCTCTTGTCTGAACTACAGTACTATCTGACCAAAGCATACAGTGTAATTGTGTTTCATTAAAAAGTGCAAATTAGTTAAAGGCGGAGGGAATACCAAAGGAATAAATAGAAGAATTAAGTTCTACATCCGTGGGCAAATGCACCTAGACAGAGCCCTGTAGTATGGACAGTGTTCCTCATACTACAGCGTGCTTGGGAATCACCGGGGGTGCTGGCTAAAAGGCAGATTGTGATTCAGTAGGTCTGGGGTGGAACTCTCATTCTGAATTTCTAAAAAGCTCCCAGCTGCTGCTACCACTACTCTGAAGATAAGGCTTTTAGAAGCAAGATGTAATACATAACGATATGATATCATATATACTCAATAGCCCTCTTTAAACCCTCAAAGTAGATACTATCAAAACAATGAAGTAGATGTAAGGGATAAAAAATCATTTTCCATGGTGTTTGATCAATGTAGAACACAGACTAGGAGTAAGGCTAGGCAGGCCTTATCTCTCAATTTCCTTTAATTTTAAAGTTTGACTTATGTTTGTATGAACACAGTATCAGATTTATGAATAGGACCGTAGTACTACATATTTGCCTACCGGCTTCTTGAAAGCCCAGCCCTTTCACGGAGTTTTTATCTGCATGACAGAGCCTTGTTTTTAAAGAATGAGTGTCAGTTATTTGTACATTTAATATTTTGCCATCTGAAAATAAAACAGTTCAGTACTAAAGGTAACGAAACTGTATCAGGAGAATACTGTTTCCGTGGCACCTTGCAGGAAGGAATAGTTACAGACTTTAATGACACTTTATGGCTTTAATCTTAATAGCTAAGAAAGTAAATGACACATTTCTTATTGTTTTTACTGTTTGGGTAATATACATATTTAGCTTCCTTAAGGGAACATTTAAATTAATTGACTTACTCTAATCTGAATTATGTGTTTTAATTTAAGGTTGTTAAAATAACTTAAATTAACTGCCTGTGTCAGTGTAGTAATTAAAATATTAGCTGTTTTTGGCTGAAAATTCTCTCAATGTAAAAATGTCTAAAAATAGAGTGGAGGTGGATTGGGCAGTCCGCAGAAGAAAAACATGGCAACCAATATTTTCTGTTACAAAAATACGTTAGATGAAGTTAGTTTATATGAAAGCTGTCCGAAACTGAAATGAATAGCAGAAGCTCTGTTTATTCACAGGCCAGTAATAATAATGCCCGTAGCACAAAGCATGCGTCTTTTCGGTGCCGAACCGACTGCTTCTGATCCTTTCGGGAGCGGAATCCACCAAGCAGGGGGAGGAGCCAGTCTCCGGTTCTGTTCTGAGATCTTAGCCTTCACCTTGATAACGCTTGTCAACAACAAAACGCCAGGAAGAGCCTTTTCAGGAAACTGATTTCAACTGTCCACTAGAGGCTGTAATGAGACCAACAATGTCACTTTAAACCGACCTGGGGTTTAAACTGTAGCAATCATTGCGTTTTAAATGAAAAAGGAAAAAAAAAGTTGTAGAACCGAGTCAGAGTGAACAGTAGTAGTTTTATTTAAATAGCTATGTATATGTGCATGGTATTTCAAAATGCGAGAAAAAAAACTATTTCCGGGGCTCTACACCTTCCTAGTTGTTAGTATGCTTATTTTTATTTCTGTAGCACGTTGGCTCTACAATACAGTTGTTTAAAAGCTGACACATTTCTCTTGGTGATTCTGTATCCTGCTTCGGTTGGTGACTAACCGTTAGGTCATACGTAAACTCAGCCAAAGGTTTCTCAAATACAGCTTACAGTCAATAGTGGTGGCTTCCAGAGAGAAACTTATGTGGAAAGATCATGTTTCTAGACACTTGGTTCTAAGCACCTGAAAGAGGTCAAATGCTACCCCGACACCTACTGGTCTTCCAGAATTATCTGCAGCAAGGAGAACGCCGCACTGAGCTCCCTCCAGCACGGAGGTGCCTTCGCTCTTCTCCAGGAGCCACACCTGTTGGCAGGGTGCACCCGTCCACAGAAGATTCCTTCCCACCGACTAACACCTGGTGGTGGTGCACGCGGAGGGGGCGGGGTGGTGGGCAGCTGAGAACCGCGCATCAGCATTGAGCGCAGAGGAAGTTCCTCCGCGTGGATTCATGAGAACTGCCATTTGATGCTCGGTTTGCTTTCTGTATCTCCTGCACTGGTTACCTCATTTCCGATTAAATTAATGATCCCGAATCAGCTGCGAAAGGAGTGCGCGGGTCTTCTTCCAAGGCTGGGGCTGGGGACTTCAGTACCCAAAGCAGATTTCCAGACCTGCAGAGAGCGAAAGGGGGGGGGGCGGGAGGGCACCCGCTTTCACGGGCAGGAAAGGTGACGGTGCACATGCAGTCGCGGGGACCCTTCAAACTTTCCTGAGTTGCACGCAGAGGCAATCCCCGCAGCCCCGTGATCCTGGTTCCGGACCGAAACCGGTTTGAGGGTTAACGTGCACCACGATCCGAGTCAGCCCTCTTAGACGATTCTCGGCGTGCCCGGGACGAAGGGCACGTCGGGATCACACTTGGCCCCCCTCCCCTCCCCCGGGAGGGGGGTTATTTCGCCGGCTGCGAGCTGAAGCCCGACACCCCTCGGAGAGTCCTCCAGGGAGCCCGGAGTTGCACCCCGCTGTCGCTCTGTCCCCTCCAACTAGGTGCAGGGACCCGGGGAGGCGCGCGAGGACCGACCGGTCACCGTTAAAATTACCTCATCGTTTCAGCTCCCCGCCCCTTTCCCAAACCTGGAAGAAGCGTCCCCTCCGGCCGGAGTCGCACCCCCCGCCCCCCGCTCCAGAGCCAGCCTCGGGCCACGCGCCGCCTCCCCGGGGGCCGCCGAGCCCGGGCAGCGCGCAGCCAAGGGTTAAGGGCGCCGGCCGGCCGGCCGCCGCGCCGTGCGCTCGCGGTGCTCCAAGCGGCTCGCCCCGCCGCCCGCCAGAGGGTGCCCCCCCACCCCCAAGTCGGATCCTTGAGCTGCGGCGGCGGCAGCCAACTGCTCCATATTTGGCTTCTATTACACATTTACATACTGGAGCGAGCGAGCGAGCGCGAGAGAGCGCGAGGGAGGGAGAGCGGGCGGGCGGAGGGAGGAGGGAGGGGAGGGGAGCAGGAGGGGTAGGAGGAGGAGGAGGAGGAGGAAGAGAAGAAGAAGGAAGCAGGAAGGGAAAAGTGAAGTGGGAAAATTGGAGCGGGAGACAAACCATGAGAGACTATGGGCTCTGAGAAACAAACTGAGAGTTCTAGAGGGGAAGGGGGTTGGGTGATGGGTTAACCTGGTGATGGGTATTAAAGAGGGCATGTACTGAATGGAGTACTGGGTGTTATATGCAAACAATGAATCATGGAACACTACATCAAATCTAATGATGTAATGTATAGCCAGAGGAATGTTGAAAAGAAAAGAAAAGCTGGTGGCATCATATTTCTGGACTTCAAGCTCTATTACAAAGCTGTCATCATCAAGACAGTATGGTACTGGCACAAACACAGACACACAGATCAATGGAACACAATAGAGAACCCAGAAATGGACCCTCAACTCTATTGTCAACTAATTTTCGACAAAGCAGGAAAGAATGTCCAATGGAAAAAAGACAGTCTCTTCAACAAAAGGTGTTGGGAAAATTGGACAGCCACATGCAGAAGAATGAAACTGAACCATTTCCTTACATCACACACAAAAATATACTCAAAATGGTTG